AGAACTTAAATAATAATATTGTTCATAGTAAACTAAAAACAATCAGTACATAACAGATACTATACTTCTCGCCCATTGGGCGAGTTATTTTTTCTAATTTCAGATCAGAATAAGAACAGAAGAAAACCCAATATCAAGACCCTTAATCCTAATTTCTAAATAAAGTGTCTGCTCCACCCTAGGCCTGTACATTTGGGAGAATCAAACCCTCCCTTCCCCGAAATCAAAAACATTTCATCGAAATGCGTCAAGTTAGAACTTGTCCGAGATCTTATCAATTTCAATGATCACACCAAGTTTCAACTGAATCGGTTGAAAACTGTAGCTTCTATTGTGCTCACGAACAAATTTTGACGCGTTTTTACAAAGTCAAGGGCAATAACTCAAAAACCGTTCATCAAAAATGCATCAAGTTAGAACTTGTCCGAGATCTTATCAATTCCAATAATCACACAAAGTTTCATCAGAATCGGTTGAAAACTGTAGCTTCAATCCTGCTCACGAACTATTTTTAACAAATTTTGACGCGTTTTTACAAAGTCAAGGGCAATAACTCAAAAACCGTTAATTGAAAATGCGTCAAATTAGAACTTGTCCGAGATCTTATCAATTCCAATGATCACACCAAGTTTCACCAGAATCGGTTGAAAACTGTAGCGTCAATCCTGCTCACAAACTATTTTTAACAAATTTCGACGCGTTTTAACAAAGTCAAGGGCATTAACCCCAATATATCGATAGGAGTTTTAACAACTACTTGATATTGCTTATGACATGATCAATGAGATCCGTCTTTCCATTTTGACCTTTAGTGACCTTTGACCTGGATTGCCTCAAAGAATTGAGACTTATAGATAGTGTCGATTCACACTAATGGGCTTTTGTCAATTTCTAGATTATATCAATGAATTTTGTACACATTTTGTAGTTAAATTCTCAATTTTTAACGTTTTTTGCGTAATTTGACCTTTCGTGACCTTTGACCTTGAATAACTCAAAAACGCCCCCTGACCCGGCACTTTACCTCCCAGATTCGGATTCCTGAGGAAAAATGCCTGTAGAAAAGTTAACTCAGATTTTGACCCCTCTCGGGTGACAATACTCCCCCTTCTCCCTCTGGTCTAAACTGTGAACCTAAGATGTTATCATTGTACGCTAAAATATAGGCTAGGCCTAGTTGTTTGTTGTTGCTGTCTTTCCCTTAGGCCTACCTGATGAACACGGCGTCACCAAATGCCAACGCTGGTGAGAAATTTAATCGGTTAAGGCAGACGTCATCGACTTAGGTCGAAGGGTAAATTTGACGAACTTTCAAGAGGGCTGTCAGTAGGCTCTAACTGAAGCCGCTATAGGCCTATTGAAATAAAAGCTAATTTAAAAAACGGAAACAAAGTTTGGTCTAATTTTAATTAGTCTGCTATTTCCGCAGAGTTTGACATTTTATAGCACTCAAGTGTGGTATAAATAAATAATATTTTACAGACAAAAATAATAAACGGTTTAATCGCCCTTTTCGCTAGCGAAGCAGAGAATTCATGCTCACCCATCCGGAACCCCTCATGTCATTCTGCGACTGGGTTGGCTACTCGATATCCCTCTCAGAGAATCCATATAGTCTAGCTAGGCCTAACACTTTTAATTTTAATTTCATTTCATTCATTTCAATTAAAAAATTGGTAGGCCTAGCTTCACAAGCTTAAAAAGTATACGTAGCCAAAGCTAGGGCTATCTCAAAGAACAAGGACTAAACCTCCAACTGATTTGAGATTGTTTTTCTTCTCGTATTTGATAGGGATAATCTAGTAATGTTTCATCTTAATATGTCCAAAAATTGAGTCTTCCAGAGTGTTAACAAGCTAAAAAAGTGCATCACGCGCCCCATAGAAAAGGTTAAAAGTAAACTGTGTGAATTGTTTTGTTTAGTAAAAATATAAAAAATGGATAGTAACAACAAATTTCTTCTCACTCGCAATTGCCGTCGATACTGTCAAGCGAGTACCAAGAGTTTAAACTAATCGGGTTTATCAACTTTACATCCGTTTTGGAAAGTTCAAATATCTAATATCATTAATTTAATGTAAATTACAGGAAGGAAGTAACATGTTAGTCAGTACAAAGAAGTATAATCTCATTGGTTTGAATTTTGGGGATTTTACCAAGCTTTCAAATTAACCATCTCAAGAGGAAACTTCCTATTCTCAAGTCAACGTCCGTAATTGATACTTCATATAAATGCGGTCAACAACGGCATTTACAAAGAACATGAGAGCGTTGATGATGGTTTAATAATCATCCAAGAGTTAGAATTCATTCGAAAATCAAAGAGTGTGTGCTATTTGTAGCAATATAGGCTTATGTCGGACACTCTTTTAAGGCCACGACGTTTTTCCCTTGAAAATGTATTCAAACAAGTTGCTAGTGAAAATAATTATTCAATATAACAAATGACACCCAAGTCATATCATCAATTGCTATAGACATTAATACTAATAAGAATGAAACTTCAAAGGCCAATGGCCCATTCAAATATACCCAAGTAAATGTTTAAACATACACAATTAAGAGTCTTGTTTCATTTTAGTGATTTCAGAGAATTAACAATTCTTAGAAAGTAGGTCATATTTGCGGTAATTATAATATCAGTGACATAGTCCGAGTAAAAAGGAAATGACATCCAGTGTACGATATTTGACAGATCTTGCAAAAAGAATTGTAACCAGACAAATTCAAGTAGACGAACATAGATGTGACACACACTTGGAAATCTGTAATTTAAACATACAAACCCCCGATAGCTATTTTGGCTAAATATCAATCTGCGAACCCACTAGGTCTAGCACAGAGATATAAATAATATCAATGTCTACACTGTTAAAAGGGACAAGTGTTGCATTTCCGGGGGTTGATTTGGACCTTGAATATATGTAGTCCTAAGAAGTACTAAATCTGTACGAAAATCGCCTTATTTCTTCAAATAGACCTTAACAAGAAATTTAACTTCTTTTTTATTTCGTTCAAAAGCTTATATTCCCTCTGAAATTTGGTATTACGAGAGTTGACCGTCTAGTTGATATTTAAGACACCAAGTGGGACTTTCAAACTTTCAATAATTATGGATTTAAAGGCTCAAATTTCGACGGTAAGTTGTGAACATTTTTAATGATTAGTTAAGCAGAACATTTCTTGTTTCCGAGACTAAGGTATGCTTTAATCCCGGAAATGCCGCATTTGTCCATTTAATTATTTCATACCGTTTGATTGAGAGTAAACTGTAGTCGGTAATTTAGTAATACATAATCACTTCCATAAATTGGCATACTTTGAAACTTTTTGAAAATAATATCAGTGAAATGTTACTATATTTTACATAAATACTAGCTTACCGTCACAAAGTGTCTACCAGTTGGACATTATGACTCGTAGGGGTTTACAATTGACGACACTTCGATCCAATTCGATATAGTACATTCGAATTTTGCAATCCTGTCCACAGCACGTCGGTCAACACATTTCTTGTGGACATGATAATGGCTACCGTTATTAACCGATATTAATGGGACTTGGTATGTATGTATATATCGATCTCAGTCAAGAAATTGGTAACAATTGGATGAACAGTTTCGCAGGTACTGCCCTTTACTTCGTAAAAACGCATCAAATTTGGCTTGATAGTGGCTACTGTTTGTATCCGATCTTGATGAAACTTGGTATGCATGTATATATATACATGTATTGATGAAATCATAGTCATGTTCGAAATTGGCAACAATCCTATTAGCGGTTTAAGATTTATTGGTGAGAGATTATTCATGTTTGAATTTGATAATAATTTTCTATTGTATATATTCCGTTCCCATTAAAAAGCGTGCAGATATCGGCGTTTCCGGATTATCGACAACCAGATAAACGCGGCTCCAATGTATTAATTGAAACATCATTTCATTAAAGACTTTGTTAACATTTCTGACAGCCAGTAGTGGGTGTATGTCATCTTGCCTGCAAGCTATCTTTAGTCATCTCAGTCGTTCTATATTTTAGTTTTAGTAGAATGTTTCGGACTACCAAAATACAAAAAGGAAATGTCAAGGTTAAAACATGATATGTTAATGGATTTCCCAAGCAATCTTTATCTCTAGCATGCATTCTACCTTTACGTTAACCGCTTTGTTAGTCCAATATATATAGTCATTCATCCCGGAGGTAAGAAAAATATTTTTTACTGTCTTATTTTTATTAATTGATTATCCATACGCAAGCCCTTGATTTTAAAAATTCCTGGAAATCTGTTCTAATTTATAAATATAAATAAATATAGAATTCTGTGAATAGAATCAATAAGTGAGGTTCAATGTTCTATTTTCACAAAATTTTCTTAGATGCTACCTGTGAGTTTACTTACCATCACATCAAAGCGAATGCTGAAACATATGAGGTGCGTGTAACATATATTTGTATACACAACAAACCTAACCGAAATCAACACTTTTCCAGTTTGTAACCTGAAAAAGCATTCAAATCATAGCGATCAATAATGTGAATTTATATTGCCGCCACCCTGATCATCTATCTACCAATACCATATATATAGCGAATAGATTTTAGGTCTAAATTCTGTTGTAAATATAGGACCAGCAGCACAGACTAATTTTGAGTTTGCGATATCAAGAAGATTAACTGGAAGCGGGCGTTAACTTTTCATCTTCTAACCGACCAATCGACTAGTTGTGATCAGATACACAAATTTAAATGGACAGAAATGTGATATGTATTTAAATCTACGCCCATGCAAAGCTAATAACTACTGGACATTGACCACCACGGAACTTAACAAGGAAGTTTATGTTTGTTGTCGTAAAAAGGGAAGATAAGTTAGAAACATTTAAAAGGTACTGTAAAAGGCATCATTTCCACAACTTTCATGTTGGGAATCGGAGTGGAAGTCTGTCTTTTGCTCTATATTAAATGCCGCTTTGTTGTACTGAATTTCTTTTATTAGATTGATGGCATCCAAAGTGGCAATTGTCGGTGTTGGATGTCGCTTCCCAGGAGCAGATGACATCGACCAATTTTGGAAAGTTCTCAAAAATGGTGAAAATCATTTGATTGAAGTACCAAAAAATCGCTGGAATCTTGATGCATTTTACCACGAAGATGCCGGAAAACCAGGAAAAACCAATGCTCGAAAAGCAGGTTTTGTTCAAGGGTAAGTTTATTTAATATACCCATTAAAGGCGTTTGGTACACCAGATCGGACACGACCGAATAGAAACAATATAATATAGCTATACTATACACACTGGGTAGGGTACGAAACGGCTGTGGCTAAACTGGCATGGTAAGCGTGGTAAATAGTCGTAAGTACCCTTAAAGCTATATACCACGGCGTGGTAACTTGTTAAATTAGGCCAATGTCACCATGTAAGTCTATGGAGACAAAACGTGGTTGTGGATTTCATCCAATTTTTTTTAACATTTCAAAAACTCACACTTTTTAGGTTTCAAAAATAGAAATATTGTGCACATTTCACATTGTTAGCACACTAAAATAAGCATTTTAATATCTCTAGCGAAGGAAAATATCCACCACATTTAATATGTCGGTCAATCGGTCCTCCAACATTTCTTGTGAGCACTATAGACATTACAGTTTTATCTGGTTTTAATGAAATTTAGCATAATGATTTATATTCATGATATCTTGGTCAATTTCGAATTTGACGATTTCTCGATGAACGGTTTTTGAATTATTGCCCTTGACTTAGTGAAAACGCGTCAAAATTTGTTCGTGTGCGCAATCGAGACTACAATTTTCATCCGATTTTAATGAATTTTGATGTGATCATTTATAATAATAGGATCATGGTCAAGCTTTAATTCGACGATTTTTTGATAAACAGTTTCTGAGTTATTGCCCTTGACAAAGTAAATACGCGTCCAAATTTTTACAATTTTCATCCAATTTGAATTAAATTTTAAATGATCATTTATAATGATATGATCTTGGTCAAGCTTTATTTTGATGATTTTTCGATGAGTTAATGCACTTGTGTGATCATTTATGTTGATGAGAATTTATTGAAGTTTGAATTTGATGTTTTTCGATGAAGGGTTTTTGGGGAATTCGTAGTGGCTTTTTATTCAATGTTATTCATTGCTATTTCTTAATTCTTAATTCCAATTTCTTATCTCTTAAATTGCAAGCTTAATTCAACATTTGTTATAGAAAATTGACATTTGTATACAGAAATGATAATTTGATAATTGTCCTATGATAATTTGATGGCTATAATTGTCACTTGCCTACTTAATACTATGAACTGGATGATAGAGGCTATCTATAGTGTGTATCTTATTTTATGTTGGTTGTACAGCGACATCTGTCGTCATAATCATGACCTTCAAATAAATTCGATATGTATTGCCCGAATTTCTAACCTAGTTATGAGATTTGATTTTTTGCTATGCGAGCCCCCAACCTTCGCTCCGCCACTGCTAGCTCAACTTATCTTCAAATGCAAAACGTCAAACACAAAACTCTGCCAACAAATGTTCAAATACATATGTTCAATAACAAATCTCGCTCAACAAATTTTGCGAAACATTTCTCCAAATACATATTGAATATATTTGAAGGTCATGATTAAGACGACAGGTGTTGCTGTATAACCATAATATAAGATATAGACTATAGATAGATATCATCCAATTCAATTTTCAAAGCACTTAACTATGACGACATTCTGCGATTTCCTTGCTACGACTACAATTGTCAATTTTCAAGAGCTTGAATAACTTTAAAATCAGGACTGAGGTTCATACGAGTCCTACGAGGTAGAGATAGAAGTCGTTCAAGACAAGTAAGGTTGCTAAATCTCAAGAAGAAATTCTCTTGTGTGTTTTAATAATTATTTTCAGGTTCCAACTACTTCGATTATCGGTTACTTTTTTTTTATATAGCATTTAAAGATTAATCCTAGGAATCATATTAGTAAATGTAATTTAAAAATCATCGGTAAAATGCGATATACCAATGTACTTGCAAAGACAGTACCGTGGCCTACAATTCACGACAAAATCATTTGCATGAATATTTTTAAAAAACTGGGCCTATGATTATTTGATGGCTATTGTTATGATTTTATGATTGACAAGTCATAAGGAAGTTAAGGTTTAATCAGAACAGCAACTTAGATACAATAGGTATGAATACAAAAGGTGGACTACCAAGGACGTGCACAAGCACGGGATAAAATGGCGTTCGTAGGTAAGGGGAATCAGTCAGAGTTTATGTTGATTCAGACCACAAGTACAGTCGATAACATTAGTCCGAATCACCATTCGATAATGTAACATCTTCCCCTTTAAAGTTCGTCAAACATAATCACTGAATTTTAACGAGCGACGGACACTTCGGCCTCGTGTAGTCTTTGGAACTTCATTCGACGAGCTTGAAACATTGGTTTGATGGTTTGTTGTTTTCTTTTAACTGGAATCTGATGTATTCGTCTGCGGTGGTGGAGTCTTGTTGTGTTGTTTTAGACTGACTATTGGATATAGGGATTTTCATCACATGACGACGATTACGACGATACTGTACTCCTGAGGTAGATATATGACAGGAACGTTGTGTAGAGTCTTTATTTAAGATCCGACTTGTTTGGTTACTCCATCGCTTCTCTCCGTCCAGTTTAACACGAACGGGGTCACCTGGTGTAACTTTGGGTAAAGTACGGACACCATGATGACGACGATTGTAGTAGAATTTTGCCTTTGACTTGTACTTTTCATCTGCCTTTTAACAGTTGAATGAACTGGCCATTTTGGTTTTTGTTAATAACCGGAACGGGAGTGCGCATTTGACGACCCATGAGTAATTGCGCGTACTTCTGTAAGCCAGCAATGCTAATAGTGGGTCATTCTGGTTTAACATTTTCTTAGCAATCGTGACTGCCATCTCCGATTCACTATTAGCCTGCGGATTGTGAGGATAAGTAAACACACTTTTGAAGTTGTACTGCTTGGCAAACTCTTGAAACGATGTTGATGTATATTGAGTTGCGTTGTCCGAAACTATGTTTTTTGGAACTCCCCATCTTGCAAAAAATACTTTTGAGTTTGTCAACCACAGTTGCACTTTGAAGGTTATTTAGGGCAGCGAGCTCAATGTACCTTGAGTAATAGTTTATTACAGCAATGTAGTGACGATTGTTTAGTTCCAGTATATCTGTTCCGAGTTTTGACCAAGGAAGCTCTGGTAATGGTGTTGGTTTGAGTGGTTCTTGACGTTGTGATGGTTGATGAATTTCACAAAAATCACAATTTGAAATCAGTAATATAATGTCGGTAGAAATTCCGGGCCACCAAACTGTTGTACGGGCTCTTTCCAAGCATTTGGTTATGCCTAAATGTCCACCGTGGATGGTGTCCAATATATCCTTGTGAACGGATGAAGAAATGACGATTCGATCTCTTTATCGGTGGAAAGTTCATTTCCTGATGGGAAATACTTGCGAACTTTCTCCGGAGTGTTTTGAATATTATCAGGCCAGTCATCTTGAGTAAATTTGACGACAGTCTGCAAGACGAAATCACTCGAGGTTTCCTCCCTAATCTTCTATCACTAGCCATGCTGGATTCCACGAAGTTAACCAATAATTCGACGTCTTCTTCTAACGATGACGTTACTTTCTCTGTTGAGAGTGGGCTGTGCGACAGCATGTGGAATGATTAGCTCTTTACTTGGAACGTACTCTGCTACAGCGTTGAAACGGCGTAATCTTAGCAGTAAGCGTTGACATCGGATTGGTGTTTGATTTAGGTCATCAACGGAATTAATGGTTTATGATCCGTGATTAATTTGAACTGATCTAATGATTTAATCCGATTAGGTATCTCTGAAAACGTTCGCATGTCCAAACGCTTGCGAGACACTCCTTCTCTATTTGAGCGTAATTTCTTTCTGATGAAGTGAGAGTTCGTGAACAAAAGGCTATTGGTTTGAGCGCACCATCTTTCTGTCGTTGAAAGAGAGCTCCACCAATGTCATAGCTGCCTGCGTCTGCTGAAACCACTGTACGTTTGTTTGAATCGTAGAAGGCTAGTGCTGGTGTTGATGTGAGCATTTCTTTTACCTTTTCCAACGCAGCTTGCTGTTGTGGTCCCCAGAACCACACGACGTCTGACTTCAAAAGTTCTGTTATTGGGCTGATTGTGTGGGAAAGATTGTCCAGAAATCTACCCAAATAGTTTATGGAGCCTAGTAAACGCCTTAATTCATTAACGTCTTTTGGAGGTGGAAGTTCACTGATAGCTTTCACTTTATTTGGATTTGGACTGACATCGCTCAATTTGATAATATGACCAAAGTAAGTTATTTCGGGTTTTCTAATTTGACACTTCTCTCTGTTTAACCGCACACCATGCACCAGCTTGTGAGAGTTTATCGGAAACTTGGTTTAAACGAAAGTCATGTTCCTCGTTATCTCTTCCAAAAATTATGATGTCGTCCATACACACTGCTGCGCCGATCTGGTCACCAAGAATTTCAGTCATTTTCCGTTGAAAGATTCCCGGTGCAGACGTTATACCAAATGGCAATCGTTTGAAACGAAACCGACCAAGTGGTGTAATAAACGCTGTTAGTTTGGAACTTTCTTCTTCCAGGGGTAGCTGGTGAAAACAATGGGCAGTATCTAATGCACTAAATACAGTGCAACCAACTAGTTTTGGAGCAACATCTTCTAAATTTGGTAGTATGTATTTCTCTCTCTTGGCGGACTGGTTTAACTTTTTCAGGTCAACGCAGATTCGGACTTGACCTGACCTTTTGATGACAGGAACCATCGTACTACACCACTCTGTTGGCACTGTTATGCTTTCAATTATGCCTTCGGACTGCATACGATTACGTTCTGCTTCGACCTTTGGCAGCAATGGGAAAGACACACGTCGAGAAGTTGGTAAATTAAATGGAATTGTGTCATCCCGAAGTACTATCTTGACTGGTTCACAGTTTATGAGTCCACCAGTGTTGAATATTCTTGTGTTTATTTCATATACACGTTTCACTAATCCCACAGATTCAATAACGTTTCAGCCCAGCAAATTACTGACATTTCCACGAATAACATAGACAGGAAATGTAAAGTTTTCTCCTTTATAGCACACTATAGTTTGAAATTGTCCCACTGAAACCAATTGACC